ACCACAACCTTTCCATTCAATAATAGGCAAATTTATTGATGCACAGTGGAAATAGAAAAGAAACAGTACAAACAGTCAAGCAATTCTATACATCTACCAAATCCTAGAGCTGTCATCAGAGTCAAAGTACTTCTAGCCAAAATGCAGGTTCCACTCTGAGGCTGTCTCTCAGATGTCAGCATATCAGCAGTTTGGAGGTGAGATGTTGAGGCTCACCCCCTCCAATAGGGTGCATGAGACAGGTGGCTGGTGTGCTGTCTTAGAATGAACTACTGTGTCCAGAAGATTCCCCATGCTTGAACAAAGGACATACTCACGCTTGTTTTCATCCTTGCAAAGCTTTATTTAAGGATACTCACAGAAGCAGGAGATAGAACAGAGCAGAAAGGACGGTCACCTCACATCGGCCTTAGGCAGCAGCCGCTACCCTGCATGGTTCCCCTGGCCCCAGCGTGTTCCAATCCCAGGGATGTGATAGCCTGAGCCAGGGCTCCGCGCAAGTCGGAACTCTTGCCAGAGTGCAGGAACCCATAGTAACTTAAGAATGTACAGCTTATATAGTCTGAAGTAAACAATGTTATCTCAGTCTCGGAAAATGGGGATGAGTCATGATGCACCTGGTGTTTACCACATTCCACTGTATCACAACATTCTACTATCCAGGTTCATGGCTCAGTCACACTCACAGAGCGGGAGGCTACATGCCGCTACACTGGCCTACTATGAAATCAGCATGCAAAACTCTTGCTTTTAGCAAAGCTCTTACTATTACAGTCCACCCTTTGATTGTGAGAGAGACCACCAAGAATTTGAGGTCTAACTCGCAATTGTCCTAAGCAGTTCATATATGCTGGGTGTTATACAGATGGGCGAGGGACCGAATGTGCAAATACCAAACGCATGTCCATAATAACAAGCATACAGCTACAACAACAACAATAGGATGCAATAGAATATTCAGTACAACATTCACTTTAGGGGACCACCCTTTAAAAATGTCCCACCAATGATACACCATAAGGTCGTGCTCTTCTTGGGCGATTCTCAGTAGTTCACCACACTGGGTTATTATCAGGACTCCGGCTTGGGCAATGGTGGTAGCTATCTTCTGGAGCTGGTGAGTGATCTCCTCATGCTGGTCAAGTAACTGCTCAAGTTGTAGAAAAGAAACCTTAACTGGTATCACCCACAGAGGAATGGGGAGAGTAGACTGTATGGCCTCATATGAGACATTAAGGAAGGGGACGCTCTCCTTGGTATGGAGGTCAGTAATAATCATCACCTGATGGTGGCATTCACACACAGGGGGTGAGGAGACCTCATCCCCATTCCACTGATTCAGGTTGGAAGAAAACACGCAAGCTGTCCCATTCCTTAAGTCATATGTGAGGGTCTCTTGTAACCACCAGGGTTCCCACCTACAATGACTGGGGTCATGAGTGTAAGTGCATGGCTCATACAAATGGTTACAAGCTGGGCACACCCATCCCTCTGGCCAATTCTCAAAATCATCTATGCGATGAGTTCTATTCATTAGATCAATGTGGGAACCCTCAAACTTGGGGATCCACCATTGATCTCCAGACAACTGGGGAAATATCTGCATTTCACACCACACGGCAGGCCAGGTCTCATTAATGGCCAATTTGAACTCCACTGTGCAAACTGAGGTATTGCACTGTGTGTACTGAGGAAGGGGTAGCAGCCACCCCTCAAACTGTATCCCCAGGGCCTTTCACCATTCTGACCCTGAGGATCCTTGTATGACAGCTCTTAAGTTCTGATATTGCTGATATGCTTGCAATTGCCAAAGCATACACAAAGTGGCATTCTGAAAGGTGGATTGATTCTTCAAGACGCCAGTTATTGCAAAAGTGGTCCGGTTAACCCATTGCTAAAGATGATAGGTACCAACTAAATGGGTCCTGGTCAACCAAGGCAATAAGGGTCCCCATGAACCTATCAATTTTAGGGCCTGTCCATCGAGTGAGCCCAATTTACTCAATTTATTCACTAAAGTTTCAGTGTCAAAGCTACTGACCACCCCTGTGCCTGCTCCAATTCCCCCTGGGATAGTACCATCTATATCTCTTAACTCGCAGTGTATATTCCAACCAGGGGGCACATTCTTTCTTTGATTTTCGAAGATCCACCTTGGTTATATTGATGGTATACTGAACATGATGGATGTGGGGTCCCTGCCACACCGTACAACAGGTTGACCCAACCCTAGCTATGTGGGGTTTCCAGGTGGGCATGCTAGGTTTGTGCCTAACTTCAAGCAGTTGAACCCACCATCCCCTCCCCATGATGATACTTGTATTATAACAAACCAGGGTGGAGTTTGGAGAAACTTGGGTCATCAGGATTTTACCCCCAAATTTGCTATCCCAACTGCCAGATAAGTTTCTCAGGTTCTTCTGCACCTCTCTTTTTGTCAACCATATTTGCTTGATTGTGGTACATTTAATGGGGGGACTCCCAACAGCAAAGGAAAAGTTTACTATAACCGTCTTGTTACAGTACAAAGTCTCCACCCCTTCCCAGGTGATGTCCCTACCTGGCATGAGGTGCTATCAACACTTAGATTTAAAAACAGACAAGCCCGCGAATCAGGCATGTATAATTGCTGGAAATGCAATTCTGAGTTGCACCTACCCATCCCCCGTGGTATTGGTAGGTAGCTGTGGAGGCTGTGTCTCTACAGAGATACAAGCAAGACAAACAGTACATGACAAAGTTAAAGTGTTGCATAGCAAAAACAGGTTTCTTCCAAAGAGGCTCTGCCGTATAGCATGTACCAATCTGATTAATGTTGTCAGCAGGGAGAAGGTGGCCACTAGCCAAGCAGTCCACCCAACAGCGTCTTCAATGTCCCAATGGGCCATCATCTGGATTGAATGCTAAAGGTTATAATCCCCTTGCTTCCAATTGGTCCCTGGGTCTCAAATGGCACCAAGTTCCACCCCTAGATGCTACCCAATCAGTATTCCCATCTCTCTCGGCTATGAGTTCAGTGGGTATAGGATCCTTCCCAGGTTGGGTTACCCACACCCAGTGCCCCATAGACTCAAAACTATCCTGATGCCGCACCTTTGAAGAACTTGATATCTGACCATTAACAGACACAAGGGGAGCAGGTAGAAGCAATAATTGGGCTATTAAATCCCCCTTTTCCCAGGCAAAAGGGGTTTCCCCCTGGTTGTGTAGTATGACTTTCACCTCCCCCGGTAATCTGGGTCAATCACACCTCCCTCGGTCACCACCCCTCGAGCCACAAGCCCCAACTGAGATTGTATTTGCCCAAACCAGCCAGGAGGTAAATCCACAGATTAATTCAAAGGTACTACTGCCATCTGTCCCACATCCAATGTCCCTGCTTCAGCGGCTGCTAAGTCCATACCCACTGACCCCACAGTCGTGGGGGTGGGAAGAAAAAAAGGTTTATGGTTCTGTATTGGTTTTATAGTTAATAGGAGCATTGTCTCTCCCAATGCTCTCTCCTCCACCCCTTTCTTTCTGCATCCATGCATCCTATCCATAGGTGATTGTCCTCTGACAAATTATCTATTATTAAGGGTAGCCACCATTTTCGGCAGGTGAGAGGGCCACCCTTGGAGGGCTGGGTCCAATGTTTTGGTCAGTAATTGCTTCAGTTGACCATTCCATCTCTCAATGCCTGCTGCCTGCAGGTGGTACAGTACATGAAATGTCCAAACCATTCCAAGTCCAGCTGCCCATTGTTGGGTAAGCAATGCAGTGAAGTGTGTACCTTGATCGGAGGAAATCTCACCGGGTATGCCATGAATATGGACAAGGTGTGCCTCCAATACCCAAGGGTGGATGAGGCATCCGCCTTCCAGACTGGTACAGCAATCCCATATCCGGAGAAAGTGTCGGTGGCCGTCAAAGCACAGTGATAATGATTTATCACTGGCAGCTGTCCAATATAATCAACTTGCCATTTCTCAGCTGGTTCCGGCCCTCTGGGGATATGGCCTTTCCTCTCATTCAAGGGCTTCCGTGCCAACTGACATCGCAGACACTGTGCTGTTGCTGATGCAGTTTCACACCGCATTATGGGCAAGTCACGTGCGACCACCCAGGCATAGGCCAAGTCCCTTCTCACATGTCCTGATTGCTGGTGTATCCAGTCAGCTAACGCGTCGGTCTGACATGCCGACATCGGCCAGGTCAAAGGATCAGCATGGTTGTTCCATTCATGCTCAGGATTCCCAGTGTTTATGGGTTGGTGGGCATCTACATGCCCAACATGAATTTTTATTACCTCAGATTTCATGGCTAGTTGTTTCCACAGGTCCTGACCCCATAAGTATTTTCCTCTGATTTTCCAGTTTGCGGCCTTCCAGGCACCAGACCATACTGCCATACCATTTGCCACTGCCCAGGAATCAGCGTAGATCCAAACTGCTGCACTCTGCCATTCAGTCTCATGATCCACCACCAGCATAAGAGCTTGCAATTCAGCCCATTGGGAGCAGGCCCTTGTCCCAGTATCTTTGAGTTGGTGAGTAAGGATTTAGTTAGGGAGCTTCTGGAGGGGTTGGACATTTTTAAGTCAGCCGGCCTGGATGATCTTCACCCTAGAGTCCTAAAGGAACTGGCTGGGGTCATTGCAAGTCCCCTGGCTCAGCTTTATGAACACTTGTGGTGCTCTGGAGAGGTGCTGGAGGACTGGAAGAGGACCAACGTGGTTCCCATCTTCAAAAAGGGGAGGAAAGAGGACCTGGGGAACTACAGGCCAGTCAGTCTTCCCTCAATCCTGGGCAAGCTGTTTGAGAAAATTATTCTGGCACACATCCAGGAGGGGCCAGCAGGGAACTGCATGCTCAGGGGAACCAGCACAGGTTCATCAGCGGCAGGTCCTGTCAGACCAATCTGGTGGCCTTTTACGACCAGGTCACTAAATCATTGGATGCAGGGGTGGCAGTGGATATAGTTTTCCTGGACTTCAGGAAGGCTTTTGACACTGTCTCTCACCCCATTCTCATTAGGAAGCTGGGGGACTGTGGCGTAGACACCCATACAGTCCAATGGGTCGCCA